CAAATCCTATGGGAAATTACAATTCGCACCCTGTTCGGAAATACATATCCTATGGGAAATTACAATTCGCACCCGCTCGCACCCTGATTAGCGCTTCTTGGATTCCAAGCACAAATCCTATGGGAAATTACAATTCGCACCCTGTTCGGAAATACATTAAGTAGACTCTGTTTCTTGGCATCCAGGTACAGCATCCTATGGGAAATTACAATTCGCACCCTTCTTTTTCTTGGATTCCAAGCACAAATCCTATGGGAAATTACAATTCGCACCCTGTTCGGAAATACATATCCTATGGGAAATTACACTTCGCACCCTTGTTTTTCTTGGATTCCAAGCACAAATCCTATGGGAAATTACAATTCGCACCCTGTTCGGAAATACATATCCTATGGGAAATTACAATTCGCAGCCTTGTTTTTCTTGGACTCCAAGCACAAATCCTATGGGAAATGACAATTCGCACCCTGTTCGGAAATACATATCCTATGGGAAATTACAATTCGCACCCTTGTTTTTCTTGGATTCCAAGCACAAATCCTATGGGAAATTACAATTCGCACCCTGTTCGGAAATACATATCCTATGGGAAATTACAATTCGCACCCTTGTTTTTCTTGGATTCCAAGCACAAATCCTATGGGAAATTACAATTCGCACCCTGTTCGGAAATACATATCCTATGGGAAATTACAATTCGCACCTTGTTTTTCTTGGATTCCAAGCACAAATCCTATGGGAAATGACAATTCGCACCCTGTTCGGAAATACATATCCTATGGGAAATTACAATTCGGTTTTTCTTGGATTCCAAGCACAAATCCTTTGGGAAATTACAATTCGCACCCTTGTTTTTCTTGGATTCCAAGCACAAATCCTATGGGAAATTTCAATTCTCACCCTGTTCGGAAATACATTAAGTAGACTCTGTTTCGTAACAACATGTTGTTGATTATTGTCGCATGTTTCAAAGCCGTGAACGCCGGGATGTGTAACAGTAAAAACAAGGAGCCTTGAGCCCTGAGCAAAAGTACTGGTAATTATTCCAGCTTCTTGGCTTCTATCTCATTGATGATTCGATGTTTATGATGATGACTATAACGACGTTCTATGTGGATGATAACAACGATGACTGATGATGGCCGATGCTGATTATGATGACGATTGTGAATATGTCGTTGGCGATGTGTATGATGATATGTGATGATGATGTTGATGATTATAAAACCTGGGTTCTACGAAGAAGACTAGGGCTATGAAGACGATGATGGTGGTTTGATAATTATGACGAGCATGATGATGGTTTTAATAATTATGGCGAGGTTGGTGATGACCTTAATGGCGATTCTTCATATATTTATATCTGTTTACAGATATTACATATAGGTAGACACACACGTATATACATACATGTGTATGTATATACATACACAAACAATATATATAGATACAGACATGTATACATATATATATATATACAGACATGTTTGTGTATCTTCATATATATCTATATATACGCACCTATAAATATATACACATGCATGTATATACGTATGCGCAATTATGTATACATTTGTATGTGTGTGTAAATGAGTACATACATATGTACATACATACATATATACATACATACATAGGCAGATACATCCATACATGCATACATACATAAGCACATGCATACACACACAGACACACACACACATAAACACCTACACATACGAACATACACACCTGCACACCCACACACACATGTACATACATACATACATACATACATACATGCATACATACAAACATACATACATACACACGTATATACATACATCTAAACCCTAGGCCCTAAACCTAAGGCCCTAAACCCTAGGCCCTAAACGTAAGGCCCTAAACCCTAGGCCCTAAACCTAAGGCCCCAAACCCTAGGCCCTCAACCTAAGGCCCCAAACCCTAGGCCCTAAACCCTAGGCCCTAAACCCTAGGCCCTAAAAAAAAAAAAACCCTAGGCCCTAAACGTAAGGCCCTAAACCCTAGGCACTAAACCTAAGGCCCCAAACCCGTGCCCTAAACCTAAGGCCCCAAACCCTAGGCCCTAAACCTAAGGCCCTAAACCCTAGGCCCTAAACCTAAGGCCCCAAACCCTAGGCCCTAAACCCTAGGCCCTAAACCCAAGGCCCTAAACGCAAGGCCCTAAACCCTAGGCACTAAACCTAAGGCCCCAAACCCTAGGCCCTAAACCTAAGGCCCCAAACCCTAGGCCCTAAACCTAAGGCCCTAAACCCTAGGCCCTAAACGTATGGCCTAGGGGGAGGGGGGGGGGAGGGGCTGAAAATCGGGCAGCATTTCCTTCCCCCAAGCATGCCGGTAGAAAGGGGAAAAAAAGAGAAAAAAAACAAACCTCAACCGAATAAAAGGTAGAAAAAGGTAGAAAAAGGTAGAAAAAGGTAGAAAAAGGTAGAAAAAGGTAGAAAAAGGTAGAAAAAGGTAGAAAAAGGTAGAAAAAAGTAGAAAAAGGTAGAAAAAGGTAGAAAAAGGTAGAAAAGGTAGAAAAGGTAGAAAAACGAAGAAATGGGGGATACCGTGTGTGTGTGTACAAATGAAAAAAAATGGTGTTGGGAACCAGGCATGTCTTGACAGACAGGCAGAAACCGGAAGATTTTGGAAGAAAATTGCAGAATTCCGACGAATCTAGAAGAATTTAGAAGAATTTAAAAGCATGCAGCAGTCTTACCTAGAACAGGGAAGACTACAAGGCTTGCTCCAGACACTCGCACCAAAAGCATTTGCATGAATTTTGCATAAAAAAAAACAAAAAAAATTCCTCGCTTCGCGAACATCCATATTTGTTTTCAACTCTAGTACTCCACACACACTACAAGGCTTGCTCCAGACGCCAGACACTCGCATCAAAAGCATTTGCATGAATTTTGCATAAAAAAACAAAAAAATTCTTCGCTTCGCGAACATCCATATTTTGTTTTCAACTCTAGTACTCCACACACACTACAAGGCTTGCTCCAGACACTCGCACCAAAAGCATTTGCATAAATTTTGCATAAAAAAACAAAAAATTTCCTCGCTTCGCGAACATCCATATTTGTTTTCAACTCTAGTACTCCACACACACTAATTACAAGGCTTGCTCCAGATACTCGCACCAAAAGCATTTGCATGAATTTTGCATAAAAAAATCAAAAAAAATTCCTCGCTTCGCGAACATCCATATTTGTTTTCAACTCTAGTACTCCACACACACTACAAGGCTTGCTCCAGACACTCGCACCAAAAGCATTTGCATGAATTTTGCATAAAAAAACAAAAAAAATTCCTCGCTTCGCGAACATCCATATTTGTTTTCAACTCTAGTACTCCACACACACTAATTACAAGGCTTGCTCCAGACACTCACACCAAAAGCATTTGCATGAATTTTGCATAAAAAAAAACAAAAAATTTCCTCGCTTCGCGAACATCCATATTTGTTTCCAACTCTGGTACTCCACACACACTACAAGGCTTGCTCCAGACACTCGCACCAAAAGCATTTGCATGAATTTTGCATAAAAAACAAAAAAATTTCCTCGCTTCGCGAACACCCATATTTGTTTTCAACTCTAGTACTCCACACACACTACAAGGCTTGCTCCAGACACTCGCATCAAAAGCATTTGCATGAATTTTGCATAAAAAAACAAAAAAATTCTTCGCTTCGCGAACATCCATATTTGGTTTCAACTCTAGTACTCCACACACACTACAAGGCTTGCCCCAGACACTCGCACCAAAAGCATTTGCATGAATTTTGCATAAAAAAACGAAAAATTTCCTCGCTTCGCGAACATCCATATTTGTTTTCAACTCTAGTACTCCACACACACTACAAGGCTTGCTCCAGACACTCGCATCAAAAGCATTTGCATGAATTTTGCATAAAAAAACAAAAAATTTCTTCGCTTCGCGAACATCCATATTTGGTTTCGACTCTAGTACTCCACACACACTACAAGGCTTGCCCCAGACACTCGCAGCAAAAGCATTTGCATGAATTTTGCATAAAAAAACAAAAAATTTCCTCGCTTCGCGAACATCCATATTTGTTTTCAACTCTAGTACTCCACACACACTACAAGGCCTGCTCCAGACACTCGCGCCAAAAGCATTTGCATGAATTTTGCATAAAAAACAAAAAATTTCTTCGCTTCGCGAACATCCATATTTGTTTTCAACTCTAGTACTCCACACACACTAATTACAAGGCTTGCTCCAGACACTCACACCAAAAGCATTTGCATGAATTTTGCATAAAAAAACAAAAAATTTCCTCGCTTCGCGAACATAGCAAAGGGTTTCAATTTTCCACACACATAGTCTATTACTCTGTTACTCCATTACTCTATTATTCAATTACTCTATTACTCTATTACTCAAATACTCTAGTACTCTATTAGTCTATTACTCTATTATTCTATTACTCTATTACTTCACTACTCTATTACTCATATTTGTTTTCAACTCTAGTACTCCCACAAAGTGGGTGTTTTCACCCAAACCCTAAACCCTACACCTTTAGACCCGAACAACCGTAAGCCCTAAACCCTAAACCTTTAAACCCTGAACCTCGGAAGTTGGCACCCTAAACTTTGTGGGCCCCGAAGCTGACCAATACTAGACCTAGAATCTTTAAACCCTAAACCTCGGTGTTCCATTTTGGCAGGTCCACGAGCCGTGCCAGGAAGCCTAAACCATGAGCCCTAAACCCTAAACCGTGTTTAAGCCTCAAATTGAAACCCTCACATAATTCGCATTTCTGCCACAATCTTCCAAATATTTTGTTTTTCTTCAATAATCTTCCAAATAATTCATTTTTCTTCAACAATCGTCCAAATAATTCGTTTTTCTTCAACAATCTTCCAAATAATTCAACAATCTTCTTAAATCTTCGGTAGTGGCTGAGAAGTACCCCTGCTGAGAAGTACCCCTAGGCTCATGAATGACTTTAGGCCCTCATGTCGAAGAGTGAAGTTAGACCTGAGTCCGATGACGAGTGGCTTGTCGAGCTGCTGAGTAGTCATGCCGGTAGCAGTTCCAGGGCGGCAGAAGCGGCAGAAAGCTCCATGGATGTAGAAGGCGATACCTTGCAGCAGCTGTTGACGAGTGATGGGTCTGGGTCACATGATGGATGGGATGAGCCTTCTTTGTCAAGCCTGCTGGCCAAGCATTCAGAGTTTTGTAAAGGGGGACCATGTGTTGCAACGGCAGCGAGCCGATGCGAAAATCCTGTGAGCTTTTCGGGTGCCTTTGTCATGGTGGATGGTCGTCGCGAGCAGCTGGTCAGTGCAAACTACTACAAGACACTCATTCCTGTCGCACTGCAGAACCTGCCACGACTTCAGTCGGTTATGCGAACCGTGCTTGCAGATCCTCAGATACATGTGGATTTTTTGACATGTCAGCTGGCATCCAAAATTCTGGAACACGCCTACACCCGGATCCGCCATCTCATTTCTACTTCCGTGAAGTTTAAGATCGGACAGACAGCAGACCCCTCCCATCGCTGGAGACGTGCTGCCCATTCTTACCTGCTCGAGAAGCCGAGAGTATTCCGGAGCATGAAGCTGCTTGCGATTTTCGAGCATGGGGAGGCTGCTGCAATGCTCGAGGCGGCACTCATTGCTACGTTTATTTCTCACGAAGCTTGTTTGAATGTGGTCCTGGGAGGAGAGTCTATCTCCAAGATAGATGGACCCTTTTTTGTGTACGCCGTGGTTTCTGATTAAAGCTGTCTGGCGAACCGTGTTTTACATTATCACACGTATATGTCGCTCGATCTGCTGGAGCACCCGCTTACACTATTGCATAAGCAAGTCGCTCGATGTGCTTGGATGCCAGCAAAGCCTGGGTCGCAGCTTTCATAAAGATCCGATCCTGAGTTTCGCTGGCTTGGGCTGCATATTGCTAGCCGGAATATCCTTTAGGGGTCCAGGGACTAGGGTTCAGGGGTGAGGGGTTCAGGGATTTAGGGTTTCGCCTCGGGGATTTGGGATGATTACGATTCGGTGTTGCTGCATACATTATCCATCGTGCCTGGTGTCGGGTCTGCTTGGGTTCCACACAGGTTTGGGCCTAGTGTTGTCTCTATATAGTGATTGTGGTTTGCTTAGGATGCAGCAACAAAAGCCTCCGGGGTGTGCAATGTTTCAAACCTTTCTCTGTCTCTTTCTCTCTCTCTCTCTTTCTCTCTCTCTCTCTCTCTCTCTCTCTCTCTCTCTCTCTCTCTCTCTCTCTCTCTCTCTCTCTCTCTCTCTCTCTCTCTCTCTCTCTCTCTCTCTCTCTCTCTCTCTCTTTCTCTCTTTCTCCGTCTCTCGCTCTCTCTTTCTACATCTCCTTCTCACTCTCACTCACTCTCTCTCCTCTCTCTCTTTCTATATCTCTCTCTCTCTCTCTCTCTCTCTCTCTCTTTCCATACCCTCGCCGCAACCAATTGCCATGAAAAGCTACAATAAGCACAAGTGTCTCCCCAAAACACCGATCAATCCCACTCTGTACATCAGCTATATCGATAGCTCTAATTGTACTTATTTGCGAACAATCCTACCAGGCGGGAGCCAGCCTATTTGAATTGAACCCCTGATCTAAATCAGATCCCACCCACCATAAAACTGGAGCCTTCGATCCAGCTCATGTAGCTATAGCCTTCGAGCCAACCCATTAAATTATTATATATGCATATTCTATAACCTCGATCCAACCCGCTTTGTACACCTGGACTTTGAAACTTCAACCCCAACCCACTAAACTCCGATTCTAGAGCCTGGACCCGACCCGCTGAAACTTGAACCTTCGATGCAACCCCTATCTAAGACTTAAAAAAGCCGTTCACTTAAACCCTTGCACCCTGAACCTCAACCCCTAAGTATATATAGACCTTTGATAAACCCTTGATCAGCCATGCCCAGGCTACGCATCGCCAACTCCTGGCCCGCCGAGACGTTCTGCAGTCTTCGTGGCCCAGGACAATAGTGCTCCTGAACAAGATTGCCCCAAGTGGGCGATGCATCCTAAAGCCCAGGCCTACACCATAAACCATAAGTGTCATAATAAACTCCAGACCCCAAACCCGAAGGACGACGAGAAGGAGGACGATGGCAAGAAGGCGAAGGCCGAGGTGCCAGCAGTGAAGAAAGCCAAAACGGCCGACGACCACACGCAGCCGAAACCCAAGGAGACCGACGACAAGAAGCAGCCGAAACCCAAGGAGACCGACGACAAGAAGCAGACGAAACCCAAGGAGACCGACGTGGAGAAGCAGGCCAAACCCAACAAGGCCGACGAGGAGAACCAGCCGAAACCCGAGGAGGCCGACGAGGAGAAGCAGACGAAACCCAAGGAGGCCGACGACAAGAAGAAGGGCAAGAGACGGCCTCAGACGACGAAGCAAGACGACGAAAGGGAGAAGAAAAAGAAAAAGAAGGCCGACGACAAAAAGCAGGCGAAACCCAAGGAGACCGACGACAAGAAGCAGACGAAACCCGAGGAGACCGACGACAAGAAGCAGGCGAAACCCGAGGAGACCGACGACAAGAAGCAGGCGAAACCCGAGGAGACCGACGACAAGAAGCAGACGAAACCCAAGAAGGCCGACGACAAGAAGCAGGCTGATGTGACGTGGTGCAACCTGCACGAGAAGGCCGTGTGCGATGGCGAGTTCAGTTCCGAGCCCTTTGTGAAAGACGACGAGGTCTATGTGTCCTTTGAGTCTGGCCTGGAGTGGCGGGTGCCGCATTTGGTGCCCGATGACTTGAAAGGCGGGCAAAAAGCTTTGCCTATGCTCGGAAAAGCCCAGCAGCCGAAGCGGAAGCCCAAACCCAAAGCCTCTCCGAAACCAGTGCCTGATTTTGATCTAGGCTGCTGCAGGATAAAATACTGTACGCAGGGCACCAAAATGCCAATCTTGAAGTTCGAGGTGCGAGCTGACAGGACTGGGCCGTGTTCGCTCTTCAAGCAAAAGATGCAAGTGGTAGTGAAGGAAGGTGGCTTCACGGCGGAGCAGGGGATGAACTTCCTCAAAAGCTTCGCCTTTGCTTACGATGGCATGAACATGAACCCCGACGAGATAGATTTCAGGGTTTGCAAGCAATCGTTGCTTGACTACGGGTCCAAGAACGGAGTTGATTGGAGCAAGCATCTGAGCTGGAAGTTCATCAACAAGCTAAAGCTGCCGGGGTTTCCTGAGGCGAGCATCGGTTTGATTTAGCCGCTTTTTTTTATTTTTGGTCTTGGGCAAGAACGATCTTCGTCGAGAGTGTGCTTTGTCATATTGAATGTAGTTAAGGCCTCAGCCTGCACCCTCGGACCACGACGGCGAGAGGGGCGACGATGCTGATGGTGAGGGCGATGATGACGACAACGATGGCGAAGGCGAGGAGGAGGAGCAGACAGAAAACGACCCGGCGATGGAAGGCTCCCAGCCCGCCCTCTAAACCCCAACCCTGAACCCTGAAACCCTAAACCCAAACCCGAAACCCTACACGCAACGTCGTTGTGACTACATACAAAGACTTCTTCTGTAGGAGTGCAAGCAGGATCGTAATATATATATATATATGTTTATATATATGCAGATTTTACATCTATGGACTTCATACGCACAGTCGCAGTCGCTGCTACAGTTCTTTGACTACAAAACGTTGCAGATAAGTGCTTTACCAGAATCACAACCCTAAGCCCTAAACCCTAAGTCCTTAGATTTAGCATACCTCCTTCCATGAACCCCCCTCAAGCTCAGGCTTGGATCGCCTCGGCTCGGCTGCTGACATGATGCTGGGGACGAATGGAGATGATCTAGTCTAGGAGTGTGCAGAGAAGTCTTTATATCGGATGTTGTGTGCTTTGAAGCCTAGCCCTGTTCTGACTGGCCCGTCCTTATAACCCATAACATCACCCCGAGGTCCTCTGCAAGAACCGTAGCCACTGATCGTAGAAGCCTCAGATGTGCTCCGGGTGCATTCATTTCCGACTGAAGGTTTTCCACTTGCGAAGCAGCACTAGCTAATTCTTATATTGGCTTATTAAGACTCCAAAACCCGACCCGAAACCATAAGCCCTGCAGCCTCTGAAAACCGAATCACGTCGTGAGCACTCTGGGGTTTCTTCAATCGATTGCAACAGGGGCTGCTCTAGGCTTGGCAGAGCTTCGGATGATCTGATGCGAAGCTGGAGTGAGATCGACCCACGCCCTAAGGTAGTCATGTATAGCAGCCTGGTAACTTTAACACTAGCAATCGTAGTTCGGATCGTATATAGTCATACCTGTTATAATAGGTGGAGATGTGTCGGGGTATCAGACTCGTGCGCCGGCCGAAGGTATATCGTCTAGTGGGGTTGCACCTGCTGGACCCTAAAGTCAGAACTCGCTAGCCTCTATAGAAGCTCTGAATTACTTATCGGTCAGGGATGAGAAACATGTCAACAGCCCCGGCTGAATCCATACGCAGGCGATCTCAACTCCTGAGACAGCATCGTTGTCCTTCATATAGTGAAACCCCAAAGACTCCACCTCTAGCTTAAGCCCTTAGTAGCAAACCCTCGGACACCATAAATTTTTAATGGCGAATCCCCGTGCACCCGTGGCCCCGCCCAGGGACTCGAGTGATGCTCTCCCAGCAGCAGCACGTACAGGCTGTCGGTGCAAGGTTTTCGGTTGTCGCATATCTAGGCAGTCTTTGTACTTGCTGGAAGAACAAGGCCATCGTCGTTTATCTCCGATAAATTATGGAAGCTAGGGTAGCAACTGTT